CATTGGTGTGTTGGACAATCTTGTAGGGGACTTCCTTGATATCCCGCTGGACTTCAGGGTCTGAGAACTTCCGACCGATAAGTCGCTTGGTCGCGAAAAGTGTGTTTTCAGGGTTGACGACAGCTTGTCTCTTGGCTGCAACACCGACGAGACGCTCACCACTCTCAGTGAATGCCACAACAGAGGGTGTTGTTCGGGTGCCCTCGGCGTTTTCTATTATTCTTGGTTGTTTGCCTTCCATGACCGCGACGGCCGAGTTTGTTGTTCCCAAATCAATACCAATGACTTGGCCTTTGACTTTTTCAGACGATTCGGGAGCGTCGGTAGAGGCATACCGTGAAATTATCGACGATCGAGGGGCTCGAATCTGGGAGAGGCGGGAGAAGGGGGCAGAGCGAGGAAGCTGGGTAGATTGGTTAGAGGATGATTCCATGATGAAGCAGTAGCATTCGGACTTACAGCTCTGGACATCCTTGAGGCGATCATGATGATCTCGGATATAAGAACACAACAGAGAAGCAACGGGGAAGAGCAGGAGATGGGCAAAGTCCTGGAAACCGGGGATGAATCTAGAGACGTAGAGGATGGGATGGGACAGGATAGATGAGCTTAGGATGCAAAGTAGAGGCAATATGTACGAGGACAAATAACGGATGGAGAAAAAATCTCTCTTTCCCCTTCGCCGCAAGCTCGCGCGAGGCTTGGCACCGCAGAAACTCTCAGAAATAATTCAGCCAGACCAGATGGGCCGATGGGGCTCGACAAACATGCCGAATTGAAATAATTTGTCTTCAGCCTCGCGGAGACAGCCTCGTCCAATCGACGTCACGGTTTAGCAAACCCGAGCAGCCCTCCTCTCCGTTTAGAGCGATGCGATTAATCACACTCAAGCTGGGGTCAATACATCCATAAACCATTTCATTTTTCCAGGGTTCTCGTTCAACCACCCCTAAAAGTCGCTGCTCCGTGCCTTGGTCTCTCAGACTTCTTAGCTTTGCCCGCTTACCACCACTCTCCGCCCTGATTATCTCAATCCGGCCTCCTACCTCTCCGAGCGATGCGTCTCTTCCCCTAGGTCCCTCATCGTCCGTTGCGAAATGACCGTACCCAATCGCGAACTATGGCTTACTCCTTCAAAGTCACTTGCTACTCACTCTAAGTTCTACCCTACAAAGATCACGGTGTCCCACCACCAACTGCGTCATTTCATCAGTTCGTCGGAAAAAGACCTCATCTACTATGTGTCTTGTAAGGACGTGTTTGTCCTCGATCTCGCCACCCAACAGAACTCATTGATTGCAACAATACCCTTCGAGTCCCGATGTCTCGCTGCTGATTTGGGCTGGGTCTGTGTGGGAGGAGAACACAATGGCGACTGCGCCTTCATCAAGATCCAGAAGGACGAACACGATCGGCCGACATGCTTTGGTCATGACATGAATATTGATTTATTGGGAGGAGAAATCGTAAATGCCATGAGCATTCACACGTTCTTGAACCACGGCAAGACTCCCGACGAGCCCGTGGTCCTGATCAGCAACAACGACAAGACCGTCAAAATCTACTCTCTGGCTCAACGACAAGTGCTGACAACTCTACGGCATCCCGCTCCAATAAATTTCGCAGCCCTGTCTCCCGACTCCACGATCCTTGCAGCAGTGGGAGATTCCGACCGTGTATACTTCTATCGACGACACCTCGAGGAAGACCGGGACATCATCGACGGTTCTTCCGGTAAATACGCCAAGTATCGCTGGCAGCTGTTTGCAAAGCCTGTCGTACCAATTGGGGATCCCGTTTATGACGACCACGGCTTTGCGGTGACCTTTTCGCCTTCTGGATCTCTTTGCGCGGCGTCCTCCCAAGGTGGGTCGATCTCGATATTCGACATGCGACATCTTCTGAGCAGCAGTGACCCCAGCGAATCCTCGATAATATGCAGCTTTAGATCGTCTCGACCAGCTTTGTTTGGATGCGTCAGATCTATGACCTTCTCTCCCGCACCGTGGGACCTCCTCGTCTGGGCTGAAGACCACGGGAGAATAGGAGTCGCGGATGTGAGACAGTCCTGCGTACGACGGCAAATATTGGATCTCGATCGTCAGACAACAGAGGAAGTCAAGCTCGAAGATGGAACTCCGGTCGCGTTTCGTAACATAACGCACAAGGAACGGTTGTTGCAGCAACGTCTCATCCGGCTAAGAGCGATGAGTGGCCTGTCTCGCAGAGACTTGGACAACGAGATACGTGCTAACGTTCTTCTGAATGAGACTGCTCAGAGGCACAATCGCCGTGATTTGATCAATTATGGGGGGTTTGACCTAGACGCACGAGAGAGATCGGTTGTTGAGGCGCTTGATACTACAATGGAGCATGTGGAGGTCGATACCACATTGGACCCGTCGGAGCAGCCTCGCAGTCGCCTATACAGTATTGACTTCTCTAGCTCTTCCCCGGGCTGGATGGCTAGCAGTATTTCGAGTGACGCTACCCCTCAATCTCCTGGTGCCGCTGGCCGGTCTGTCGCTCCTCGCTCTCCCCGACCAAGGAGGAGAACCTCTGTCGTTCTCTCAGAGCCGACTGGAAGTCGATTTCTCGATCTCAACTCTATCCATCGTGTAAGGCTATCTGCATCTCCAGGTCGGATGGACGATGATGACGGCCCGCCTGCCGAAACGACGAATACTTCGAATTCAACATCCGGGCCCTCCAGCATTCCGCAAAACGACCCCTGGTACGTCATTCAATCAGCACTTGAGACGGCTCGTGTATCGGATCAGGGTAATCGCAGTTCAACACTTCTTGCTCGGGTCGAGGCTGCGTTGGAAGCTGAACGGCGACTCGGTATCCAGCTTGAGCGTCAACTAGCCGATGAGAGGCAATTGTCACTGTTACTTCGCAGGCAGCTTGACATCCAACAGCGTCTGCTCGTCGACAACCCGGACGAATTTGATAATCTTCGGACAGCAGCAAGGGAGTCAAACGCCAGGGTCGCAGCCTCGTTGGAACGCATTGTCCAAGCACAGCTGACACATGAGGAACAGTACATCCAATCACGGTCGCGGGAGCTGCAGAGTGAATTGAGAGTCGGTGTGGAGTATTTCAGAAGACTGCAAACTGAGCGCGAGCGCATCTTGGATGGCGCTTCGGGCAATGATGTGAACTCTCTCGACCCTCCGAATTCGAGCTCGGCCCGGACTTCAACACTACCCACCACGAATCTTAGATCGTCCGGTCAGTCAGACAGCGTCCCCAACGTGCTCACAGATTATTCCGAATCCAGCCGTCAGAGACTAGCTCACGTCGAGAACCTCCAACGACAGGTACGCCGAGCAGAGTCACGGGTAGCTCAGGCCGCAGTCGATACTCGGGCTCTCGAAACCGCCATGCGGCGCGGCAGCCTAGGAAATCAGCTTGAAAATCAGAGTGAATCCGTGAGAAGCTTCATTGGTGCCGCCGAGGCTTCATCCACATCTGTCGGGACATGGACCACCGAAAGGGCTGCACGAAGTTATCAGATAGTACCCCAACTCATCAACCGTCCCGCGACAGCCAATACCAATGTACGACGAGGCCCTGTGACCACAACGGCAGACCCGTCACCTCAGCGACTTAGTTCTAACAGCGGGAGAGAGGCACAACGTACTGGTCGCGTTCCAGATGCAGACATGCGCATGGCACGTATCCTGTTCTTGAGCGGCGTGACTGGAAACCGATCAGTGGATGCCAATGGAAATTGGCTGCCTCCCGCCAATGGATCTGCGTTGCAACGCGTTACGGGTACTCCTGGAAGGTCTGCAGCGGCCACAGGAGCAGCAGGTCTGATCGAGCTAGGGACAACGGGAATCGGGTTTAGTCCGGATGGGCAATTTCTGTAAGTCTGGTCACCTGTCTAAGAGTAATTGGGAAAGGGAGGGCCCTTTTGCCCTGTGCGAGACAGAAAGGCAAGGCTTGTGCTGACTCAGTGGGATACAGGTACGCGGGTTCTGAAGAAGGAATCTTCGAATTCAAAGTCAACCTCCGCGACCGCATGACCTTCCCTTCCTTCGAGGTGAGGTAAAAATGAGACAGAACGACATCCAGCCTTATCAGCACTGCGTTTGATCATAGCCCTCCAACTCCTACACCTCTGGGTGTTTGGCTCATCTTCTTGTGAGACATATGAAGGAATTTGCAGGTTCCAACATTCCAACATCCCTGCCCAATTCTACAAGTAATACCTTTGGTTTGATGCGTTTGACGAGTCGTTTAGCCGGGGAGGTTACCGGGTTACTGGGTTGCTGGGTTGCTGGGTTGCTGGGTTCCTGGGCTTGATGATGGACGCGTGACGTGTATACACGACAGCCCCGACCTTTACGAACGAAGCGATCTTTCTCCCATGACTGGAAGCAGGCAGGCAGGCAGGCAGATAGAATGAAAAGTAACGAACGAAATGGGGAAAGGGGAGGGAAGTTCCTTTCCTGCTCGTTTATTTTTCCTTTCTTTTTTTCCCTGTTTCCCCATGAATCATTCCACAATGTTTGGGCGCACGCACGCACGCACGGGGGAGAAGGGGAAAGGGGGGCGTTTCCAATACTACAAGGGGTGTTTTGGGAGTTTAAGAGCGCATGTGTATCGAATAATCTGGTCCTTTGGTCCTACCTACTACTTTTGTAAATTGCTAGGGTAGCAAAGCAAGGAAAGCAAAGCAAAGCGAGTAAGCAAGCAAGCAAAGCAGTTCTTCCTTTGGCGGATATTTGGTACGACAAAAAAAACCATATTATATATATTTCGACACGGGACTTTTCTGTACATCTACTTGTGTCCTTGTGCCAACATTGCATTTCAGTGGCATAACACGAGTAATGTCCAAAGGCTGGACTGTTCCGCTAGACAGATGATCTCTCTCCACGGCGTCCGGTTCCCTGACTCGCACCACGAAATATTCCCTACAAAGTACCTCGTACAATCGCGCCTCGCGTATCGAACCCCCCCCCCCCCCCGGGAGTGGAAATCGAGTACTACTGCGCGTGGACATTGTCGTTCCCGTTCTCAGTCTCCTGGCCCTCGAGAAGCACCATCCCCTTTTCTCCCTGGATCAATTCGTCCAGAGCCTTGACGCGGACCTGCATGACCCGGCACAGCGTGTACTTGTGCTTACTGCGCACGATCTTGCGGTGCCGGTTGCGCCGCTTCTTCTTCTCCTTGAGGGTCATAGGCTGGGTCTCGATGCCCATGACGCGGACCCGGCACTCGAACAGCCTCTCGTCGAGGTAGTTGGGCTCGCCCGTGCGGCGTTTGTCGTAGGACTCGGTGGCCGCGGTGCCGGCTTTGAGCGTGTAGTCCCGCGACCCGAGGATGCTGGCGCGGTTGAACCGCAGGACGTCGCCGGGCGACACGCCCTTCATGTGGAACGGCAGGCGGAGCGTGTCGCCCTCCGTGAGGAGGTACGGGAACCGGTGGATGTGCGTGACGATGTAGTGCGGTTTTTGGACGTGGAGCTTGGGGAGAAGGGTTTGCAGGGACCGGGAGAGGACGAGGGGCTGGTCGAGAGATTGTGTGGTCGCCCGCGGAGCGAATACCGACGTGGTGGTCGCGGTGGCGGAAGGTGACGAGGATGTCTGGTCAGCTGTAGCGGACAGATAACTCGGGGGGATCTCAGGCTGGGTGTTCTGGAATCGGGATATCGGCGTCGTCGTGGACGGCCGCGTCCTGGTCTGGTGAAGCTTTGCGCGGAACGGCAGGAGAAATGTGGGCGGTGCGGCCACAGGCTTGGACGGTATGTTCAGGGCGCTCTGCACGAGGGTCCTCGATGAGACATGGTGAGATCTTGTCTGGTGAGGCCGGAGCAGGGATCTGCTGCTACTCCCACTGCGAAAGTCAGTCACCGGGTTTTTCTCCGCGAGTTCTGCTAATTGAAGAAAGAGGCTCACGGTTTCGGCACGGATGAGTGCACCCTTGAGGGCATCGAGTCAAAGATGCATTTGATCGTGCGTCCGCAAATGCGGCACATTGTTGCGTAGTGCAAGTGACCGGTCTCCAAGTCAAGTTACTATATAAATGGCGCTTGATGGATCTTCTTGTATTGCCTGCGAAGAGATGGGCTCTTCGGTATTGAGGTAGAGCAAATTGGATTGAAGTCGGAATATGATCACGTGCATCGCAGATTTTGGGTTTCGTGGCAGTGACGGATAAATGTAGCGCCGGCTCATCTTCAACCCCTTTTTTTCCCTCCAACTTATCACCCGGAATTGTTGGTATAGAATCGACGAAGCTTCTTGAGATTTACATGTCTCGTATTCAGGAATTCAATCCAATCTCCCGACATTTCGATGAAGTGATGATGATTCCAAAGCCACTCATTAGATATACCGCAGGGGATCTTGATACCCGGAGCAATGTGCAAGATGCACCTCAGTGCTGCTTCCAAGGCGACCGAGACTCAAATGAGTACAATGCGTCTCTGCTCAAAACTCGCCAGCCACTTGTCTGCTAGTGCGTTCCTGTCCAAATCTGGTCTCCGGGTCTCAACCCTGCCTTCACAGATTCCGATCCTCACGTATCTGTCGGGCGTTGTAGCAGACCTGACCAAGACAAGGTGCATGATCTCTCGCCAATCTCGAATCAGGGCGACGAGGAAGACCTTACCACCGTGACGGTTCCAAACACCCCGAGCCTCCTTCCTTGCGCTTCCCAGCCAGCCGCCTGGGTCTGCCCAGTGATCCATCTGGAGCCAAAGGGGGTAGTTGGCGAGGCTCTCTATGTACTGCTTCGAACCGTTCACGCCCCGAAGTTCAGCCTCGCGCACTGGGCCTTCTATCGTAGCCTCCACACAGCCAATGTGACCAAATTCCTGGTCCTGAGATGAAATGTCGAGAACCTGCATTGTCTCGTGAATTGGTGCGTTGTTGTGGCTGAGGTCGTCCCCCTCCGTAAGACGATTCAGAGATATCAATTCAATCAGAGGTTGACCTCTCGTGTCCCACGAGTGCGCCACCCGACCAGGACAGGACACCCACGACCAGGAAGGAGAATTCTTGGGCGCAATCCGCGTCCTAACCGCGTCGTCATCGTCGTAATAGTCGTAGTCGTGACTCCAGCACAATCCCCTCACAAAATCCTCCCTCCAAAGACCGGCGCAATAGCCATAGTGCGGGTGGAATTTCTGTTTGAGCTGGGATGCCAGACCAGAGATGGCCGGGAGCGTATCGTCTGGTTGGGAGAGCTTTCGGGTGGTGTATTGGACCAAGAGGCCCTTCCAGAGGGCCAGAAGCTGGTCATTCGAGGCGGCGCAGGGAGGCCTTGTGGTGTTTTGTGGCCATGATGCTTCCTGCAACCACGTCCGGCGCAATCCGTCCAACCTCAAGAGGCTGACGTGACGGCTCACCCACGCCGGGCTTTCGCCGTCTTCCCTTGACAGCTTTCCCTCTGCACAACTGAAATAAACCTGGTCGCGTCGGAAATAGACCAGTCTAGGGCTGAGCAGAAGCTCTTGCAACGTCCAGCCTCGAGAATGCAGCTTGTATTCCTCCTCTTCGGACGAGGTGCCAGTTATAGGTCCGCCCCGATTGGGATCCCCGTCATCGAGCAATCTCGCATAGATCTTGGTGCCGAATCGACGTGAGCCGATCTCGATACCTCGCCTCCATAATCTGTCGGGCATAGCGAGGAACGACCTGTCGCAGGTGGATGCTGCATCTGCCGAAATGGCAACATACGCCCCGGCATAGATCTGTCGCATCGCTAGAGACTCGGTCTGCCACTCTTCTTTGTCTCCTTGAGCAATACACAGTGCATCAATCCATAGATATCGGATCCCAAGAGATCGAGTGGTTTTGATGGCGTCCCAGAACACTGCGGGCAACTTTCTATCGACGGGAATCCCCTCAGACATCTCCTTCAGGTTGTGTGCTGTCATGGTCAAGATTGCGCCTTTGGTCTCCGACTGAGGGCCCCAGCAATAGCTCAAGGCTGCATAGGGAGTTCCTTTGCAGACACTGGAGCGAGCGTCGTCAACGACTTTGACGGTTTCGGTCCCCTCGATTCCCACGTCGACAAGGCGCTTCGGTATGTACCCCAAGCTTGGTTTGCACCTCCAATGTTCACGCACACAGGTCCGCAAAGCGTCGGATGCAAACCGCAAACAAGCGTCTCGTTCCAGCGTAATATTGCGCCTGACACCTAGCCATGCACGGTGCCGAGCGACAGTGGCAGCGGCCGAGTCTTCCACAAAGATCTGGACCTTGAAACTTCCTCTTTTCCAGTCGCACGAGATCTCATCGACGTCGTCGCCAAATCTTTCGAGGGATAGGCTCCTGATCTGCTTGTCAGACTCGAGCAGCTTATGCTCCTCGAAAATGGCTTGCACGGCTCGTGCGATGATCCAGCAGCGGTTGCATCCCTGCTGTCCAGATTTGTGGACGTGAGTATAGCTGGGCCTGTAGTTGCGATTTTCAACCATCCTTGCACAAGAGCGACAGGATCCAGAACCGCTGCCGGCGCCCGGGTATATTTCCCCGGATGCTTCCATTGATGCCTTGTCGTGTGAAGACTTGGGTTCAGGTAGAAGCTCTCCAAATGGAGACCCCCGTCCCTAGGATTTTCACTTAACAGTCGTTTTCAACAGTGTACGTTTCCCATGGGTATTCAGACAAAAGCTTTAGATTATGGAAATTCTCCTCGTGACCTGCTTCTGCACTTTGGGACCGTACTTTTGCAAGGCGGCCGAGGGGAGAGGGGAGTGGGCATGGCAAACCCCAGTCAAAGGCATGATGAACGAGTCCACGGCTGTGTTGGCAGGAGGCGATTGGAGGGGAACATGGATATGTACGCCACCTAAGCGAGGGCGTCGCGGGTGCCTTGTCCTATTTTGCTCGTCCGGCGGCGAAGCTGGCGAAACCCCATGTACAGAGAGTAATGTCGAGATTGAAGGTCTTACTGTGTGTGTCCTCAATAGTCAGTGGAGATGTGCAGGGCAGGAGGGTAATTGCAAGGGAAGAATAGGAAAGAACGATTCGATCAGTGACGGAGTTGCTGTTGAAAACGGCTTATGTATTCCGATGAATTCCTCCACAAACTCCCCCGCCTCCTTCAAGCAGCCCACTTTGAAGAGGCCACGGAGTACTATTCACAGATTTCGTTATTGAATTTATAGAGATATTTGATGGGTTCATCTTGACGGACTCAGGTTCAGTCTTCCCGCCTTTTGTGTGAGGAGTTCCACAGCCATTGGAGAAGAGAAAAGAGGTTGTATTGTTGAAAAATCACTCTATTCACATCGACGAGCTCTCTCACTCAGTCCTTGCTCTGTCAACTGCATGCCATGCTGAATGTTCTCCTTAGGCACCCAACTACTTGGGCGTGAAAAACTCGTCGGCCATTTCCACGACGCCCCTGGCCGGCCGTCCCAGCAACTGCCCGAGAAAGGGATCGACCACCTCGCCCTCGCCCCTCGCGAGACCCTCGAACCAGCCGGCCCAGTTGTCCTCGAGCCAGCCGAAAGCCTCGCGGGGCACGCTCCCGTGCTCCTTGTGATACCTGACGGCTTCGTCCCTGCCCACGAAGCGGAGGTTTACCTTGCGGCCTGTGCGCTGTTCGACGAGCTTGGCGATCTCGCTCACGGGCGTGGATCGCGGCCCTGTCAGCCGCAGAGTCTGCCCAATGTATTTGGTGTAGTCGGCAAGGATCAGGGCGTTGCCCTCGGCGAGGTCGTCAATGTCGACCCAGGCGATGGACGAGTCGCTGGGCACGACCCATTCCAGCGGGTGCGTGTCGCCCTTCTTAAACACCCCAGACACGGGCGGCCCGGCGTAGTACCCCCAAACCTGCGCGTACAGTCCCTCGCGGAGGATCACGTACTCCACCCCACACTCCTCCAGGTACTTGGTCGTGTGGATATGGCCCTGTTGGATCCCGATGACGCTGTCCAACCCTGTCTCGCCGCCGAACATCATGCTGGTGTAGATGATTGTCTTAACACCAACTGACCGCGCCGTTTCGATTGCGTTCTTGTGATATTCGACCCGCTTGACGCCGGGGTCGTTGTGAGAGACGAGGAACAGCACGTCACCTCCCGCAAACGAAGTCCTGAGGGACGCCGTGTCCGTGTAGTCGCCTCGACGGACCTCGACACCGTACTCCTTTGCAATCGTGGGGACACGGTCCGGGCTTGACGCTGAGATGATCAGATCCTTCGGCGGGATCAGCTTCTTTTCCAGAATTTGACGGAGGACTCGAGAGCCCAGACGGCCACTAGTGCCGGTAAGGATATAACGAGCCATATTGCTGTGGTGGTTCAAGTTGGATTCTTTTCGAAGAGGCGTTGTCTTTTTGAGTTTTTTTTTTTGTTCGTAGATGAGTCTGAAGCTGGATCTTTGCGCGCTTTAAATATGTCGAATCTCCAACCCATGAAGCCGACATCTCCAGACCTCTTTGAATATCTCGTGATAGCCCCCGACAATGGTGCTGAATCCCTTTTAGGTCAAACAGGACCCAGCATTAATAATGCCGGTGGGATCAGAGATCTGTGTTGTAGGCCCATTCCACTTCCAAGTGCCGCTGCCAGATCTGTTTTGTCAGCTTTCCGGAGCGACGGCTTGAGAAAAGAAGAGAGTATGTTCACTGATTGATAATAATCATTCTTAATGTGCGCAGCGTCGGGGAGACAAGGCGTTGGTCGTCATGAGAGGCGGTTCTCAAGAGGCATAGAAAATGCTCTTCCATGGTTTTACTGGTTCCACTCCAGCCAACTAGGGGGATTCATGGGGTCAAGAGCCCCAGTCTTATGAGTAGGCAGTATGACCAAGAATGGTTACCTCTATGGGACTTTGCTAACATCGCACTGCCATGCTCTCCACAATGAATGCACCACTGTAAAGGCGCTGGATGATACAGATGAACAGTACCGTGTACGTAAGCAACGACGTAGTGATAGAACTATATTCGGTATAGTTTCCTCGCTAGCGTGGTCTCGACTTGCTAGGAGAAGAATAGTCTAATGCTTAATTTGGACGCTTTGCTATTCTTGGACTGGCGCCTTGTATGTAGAGTAATCAGTGAACCTCGTCCTCTTTGTTGGACAGGGAACAGGGGCTACTCGAATGGAAATAACCTTGGTGGCCATTAGAGAACACAGCAATAAAAAGGAAGAAAGGGAAAAGGTGCCATGTGCAACCGAAGAGCCAGATGGAAGGGCACAGTCAACTTCTCCCAAGAAGCATACGAAAAGCGTCTCTCTTTCATTCCAAGGCATCATAGCGATGTCTCCTCGTCTTCGTCGTTGGCCAACCGTTGAATTAGTCCTCGGGTGCGTACCATTCTATGCCATGCATAAATGCTCACCAAACACAACGAGGGCGTGGATCAAGCGAGGCTTTTCATCGCCTACCGCCACCCCTGCCTCCAAATCGCACTCTTCCACCACCTCGTCTACCCACACCACTTCTGCCTCGGAACTGCTGCTTCTGAGACTGGTCTCTCCTTTTCTCAACACCCAGTCCCCGTCTTTGCTGTTTTGGGTCCTTTCCCTTTCCTCCAGGCGACTTGGGAGATCCGGAGCCCTGCATAATCTGTCTGGCAACCTGTCTTGCCTCTTCAACGTCCAGCTCCATTTCCTCATCGTCTCGGTTGCGAGTCTCTTGCTTTGTTTTCTTCTGCATCCCGGATTTGACCTTCAGCCTTCCTTTCTGGCCTCTTCTTACCGCATCGGCGCCGGAAACTGCGTCGAGATAAGCGTTGATCGAGTTGTCTTGGTTCCCTGACCCAGACATGACAACATCGACATCGCCGCCTTCATCCTCTTGCTCGCCGTTAAAGATCAGCTTGCCATCCTCATTGTATCTTGCTTTCGTTTTCTTCGTTCCCGGTTGTAAATCCCTCAGTCGTCCGAGTTTTTTGGTGGCGATGCTCGCCATGCTTCGTGGATCCAGGAGATCAAGCGGCTCGTCATCATCTTCGTCCTGGCGAATATACTGTTCGTTTCTTCGCCTCTTCCCATCCACTGAAGATTTCTTGAAGGAAACTCCTGACATGGTAGCATTGTCGTCGTCTTCATCGTCACTACCTGCGATCTCGGAATCGTCGTCGTCCGATCCGTACACAGCCTCATCGAATTCATTGTCATATTTGTTCGTCGTCGTGGTCTCCTCATCTTCGTCCATTTCTCCATCGCCGTTCTTCTTCCGCCGTCCTCGCTCTCTCCGTTTTCGGATGTTGACAACTATCTTCCGATCATCGCCCCCGACCCAGCTTTCGACCTTGGCTGAATCAAACCTCCTCAGACAGCGATCTAATATTCCCTTGACCTTAGCTCTCAACCGTCCTTTGTTTTCTTTGCTCCACACCATCAACCCGGGGACAATACTGGGCATTCTGGGTTCCAGCATTTCTGTAGGCAATACCACAACCATGACTTTGACAAATCCAAGCACCGCGCGCACAATTTCCCGATTGTTCGACTGCAAAAATATGCAAACGGTATCGACAAGCTCCTCCTTCGTCTTATCACTTAGTCGTGTATGAAACTCGAAGAATAGCCGGCTGAGCGCAATGATGCTAGCGGCTACCATATGCGGAGCCACACCTGCCAGCCCCGCACTGACCATGGTGAAAACCTCCTCAAGAGTTGCTGGTGCGTCAGGGGAATCATCTGGCATGTGTGGTACCAGGCGGTTGCGGATCATTGTTCCCGGAGGATTGGATGGGCTGGAGATCTTTTCCGTGAGAGCAATGAGGAGGTCAAATCCTGCAGTTCGGGCTTTCTCGTTGCTGTCTTTGCAAGCCAGGACAACCTCACTGAGCATACTGGGAACAAAATGAAGGTCGGTATGAGGGAGGAAGGAGACGAGTGTATCAATGGCGAGGATGCGATCTCGGCGGGCAGGAACGGGTGTCGTTTCTGAAGTTCGAAGAATCAACTCCTGCAGTTCGCTGTTACGGGCAGCAAGCGCCTCTGCACCGATGGGGGAAGTTGACAGCCTCGGAATGAGTTTATACGCCTTCTTGATGAGTTGCGGGTCGGATTTGAGTATTATCGGGTTGGTTAGGATGTTGGAGGAGATGGCGAAGAGCGAGGAAAATGTCGATCTTGGTAAGTGGACAGAAAGCGCAATAACAAGATCAAGTAATGTGTGAGAGGTCGGAGGGAGTTTGCTGGCGGATGGCTGAAGCGGTTCCTTTTTGGGAAGTGGCTGATCGGCTTTTGGAAGTGCATCTTGAAGCATCGTCGACACTCGCTCAAAAGTGTCCACCAAATCCTTTTCGGGCGTGATGCTGAGATAGCTGTTGATACATCGCAAAATGTATGCACGAGACTGAGGTAGTGTTTGACTGTAGACATTAAATAAGACAGCCAAAAGGTTGCCCGCAAACTGGGACAGGTGCTGAATATTCTTCTCGGCATCAGACCTCTGTAGTCGACGTTCGAGCAAAAGCACCTCGTCTGAAAGATCTGACGCTAAGAGGGCCTGGTTCGACTCCACCAGATTTTGCAGACCTCGACACAAATCGACTCGCAGATCTGTCTGCTTGTAAAGGAGGTTTGAGAGCATCTCTGCGAATGGCTGGTCAAAAGCTGTCTGCGGATCGAGAGGAAGATCGCAATAGCCTGGTAATGTAGCCCAGACCTGCTGCACCACAGTCTCAAAGACCTTGATATCCATCGTCTTCTCAGCGTTGCCATGATCGATTACCCTTTGATACATCGCCTCGCTGAGGGGAACTAGGTCGGATCTGAAATGTGCCAGGTTCGTGTTGGAGACATGGTCTCTCAGTAGGGGGAGAAGCCACGCTCTACCAGGCTGGCCTGGCTGTGGTCTGATGAGGTTGTGAGGTAGAACGCTTAATACAGCGCCGGGACCAAGGTTGCGGATGGCATGGCCAAGGACCTCGTCTGCTTCCTTCTTGCCTTGAAATCCCTCATAACTCCGTAGCTCACCAATTGCCTTGACGATAGGTAGCAGGAACGGATCCCCGCGCCACCTCAGAGAGTCAAACACGGCACTCAATGCGCTGAAGACTTCTACCCAGGCTGTTTGATATTTTACGGCCAAGAGATCAAGGGCCCTTTTTGAGAGTTGCTCCAACACTTTTTCATCGTATACTGACGGGTCGGATATGACGCTGTCCGGGATGCAATTGGCAAAGAACGAAATGAGACACTCCGATGCCGAGACCCTGATGTTGTGAGATGGGCTCGTGAGAAAGGGACTCACTAGATCGCAGAGCTCCGGCAGCTTGGCGAAGGTGTCTTCGGGTTCAACGACTGCCGCCGTACCATAGCCCCTTGACAAGATTGCTATCCAGGGCGGAAGCAGCTGAGAGTCGTTCTGAGGAGGTTTCAGAACCACTATTGCTTCCAGCAAGCGTGGCAACTTTGAGGACGAGACCTCGTCCTGCATTCCCTCAAATATCACCTCGAACACTTCAAAAGCGCTCATAACCAAGTAGTCATTCTTCGATCTGGATATGGACAGGAGCAAATGGCAGAGGGATTCAATCTTTTTGCTTGGCCATCCACCCGATGCTACTGCAATAGTTTTGGTCAACTGCAGAGCATGAATCACGGCAGGCTCGTGACTATCGTCCGGTCGACCATTCTGCCGCCGTACCTGGTGTACCTGGTCCACGGCGTTCTTCAGATTGTTCTGGGCAGCAATTGCGCACATTTCGGCGGCGGGATGATCGATCGCAGGACCAGGTGGTGGATTTTTCAGAATATTTGTTATGGCCTCCTGCGCGCGTTTTCTTATTTTGGGCCTCGAGTCAATAGCCAGCGTGAGCAACACAGGGATGGTCTGCCGAGGGCTGGCCTGGGTGTGTGGAAGGTTCCATGCCGCAGCATCTTGGGCAATCAGCAACGACTCCAGACATCCTATTGCTGACCGTAGCAATGGTCCATTCTGTAAAGTGGCGTTCAGGAAGGGTCCTAGCAAGGACAGGATCGTGGTAAACTGTGATCGGAGGAGGCCCGCGGGGACGTGCGAGGTGATCAGGTCGAGTAGATAAACGGTCGAGGTAACGACCTCATTATCACTTCCGGCAGAAGCAGATTGTTTCAGAAGGGCGAGGAGAGCGGCAAAGTACGCCGTGGGAGTAAATTTCGTCTTTTGCTCGATGAGGGTTTCCTCGATGGAGGACAGAACCACGGCAGTCTGTGGATGGGTCAGTGGACTCGCACAGCCTTGCAATGGGGTCTCAAAACTTACATGCTGTTGACTCTGGAGATTCGGCGATTTTATCTTGGCCAACCTCTCCTCGAGAGACATATTGACAGCAATATGGACGAGCGAAACTGCTACACAATCGCCGGGTGCGGTGTGGCTGTCAAAATCTCCAGTGCGGGCAACATTTTTTAAAATCGGAGATTCCGATGTTTTGCCGGCAGCCTTTCTTTCAGCCTTGCCAGATGGCACACACGTGATATGTCAGCCTCGTTGCAAACAAGGTTGACGATAACCACCGGCTGGCTGCAGAAAGGTGACACGCATGAGGCAGGAAATGAGAAAACGGGTGTGCAGAGTTCAATCCTTCGTAGCCGATGGACTGTGACATCAGAACAGAAACAAAGGGCTCCGAACCAGCCATAGGGGCTCATTTCCCTGGTACGACATTCTTTTCAAACTCATGTTTGAACCGTGAGCGCTAGGTTTGATTTCTGGATCCTCCTCGCAAATGATTGCCGAAGTGGTGCATCGAATTCTACCATCTTGTCTCATCAACTAGGGAACCAATTCTTGATGATAGGTTCCGTGGGAATTCCCAACGCCACCTTCCGAAAATACTGTCGAGTCTGGGGTATCGACTACACACGAGCGGTTAGTTGTGGACCCCGTACTCGAATGGAAGATACTGCAGTGTGAGTTTGGGCCTTACCAGGTTGTTCTCCACGGCGTACTTCATCAGCAGATCGTACTGTGCGAGAATCATTTCTGCGCGCCGCTTACGTTGTATACTCTCGTAATCCTCTTTGTGAGATTGCTCGGACGCAGGTTCGCCCTGATCTACCGGCAAACCTCGAGAGGAATATAGGATAGAGGCCGCGCCCATGCTTGGGTTTCTGGCCCCGGAGAATTCAGCCGAGAACATTGTGCTTCGAGTGTGAGGTGGGCAGTAATGTGATGGGGCATGAAATGAGAATACCTCCAAGATAGACCATCCAGAAGCCAGAACAAATTTAACGATGCATCAAGAATGCGGTAGTTACCGAGTCGTGCAGCACGTGCGCCTAGCGTCGTCGACACTCAATACTCTTGCCTTACATCAAATGGTACAAGCCAGAGTTGCAGTCAAGTCAATCAAAGAAGAATCGAGATACGTGTTCAAATGTGCTTGCGTTGAGATATAACGTCCTGGAACCATCATATCGTCCAGGAGCCAGGATGGCAAGGCACAGGTTATCTAGACACCAATCTCTCCTCCATCAAACTCTCAGAACTCTCATATAGCATCACCACTCCCAACTGTAATGCATTCATGCCGCACATATCCTTCCTATGTCTGTCTTCCTCGAAGTGGTGGTCAAGAAACTCCATTCCCCCATTCTAAGTTGTGCAAGTCGCCGAATGTACTGGGAAAAATTTCATGATTTTCCCTTGTTTCAGTCGTAAAATTTTAGACAAGATTTTTGGCAGCTCATACCCGCAAAAACGAGGTAGTTCCGTGTAGTGCCCAATTCGCCGCCCGTCCAAAATGACCTCGATGAAACGCCGATATCTTGAATTGCCATGCCGCTAAATGCTGAAGAACCAAACAGACGTCTGTACACGCCGACAGTGACCGGCCAGCTGGAAATGATTTCGAAGAAACATTATGATTAAAATTAACATCCATTCACCAGCGAGTTCTTTGGCCATCCGTAGCCGGTATCGGCCCTGGAAACTGAGGTTAGCTCGGTTGGACACAACACGGACAGGCAAGACTCACCAAGTCGTGATATTCGGGTTGTGATACACCTCGTAGTGATTGTTGATATACTCGGTCGTCTCGTATCCCTCAGGATCACAGCTCATTTCGCCGTTGTCGTCCTGATAGATGCGGATGTAATCAACTCGCATGGTAGCTGGCATCAGAGGCGCTAATCCGGTCAAATTCAGCGACGAGAAGCCAGGTGATATACCGAAATTGACAATGATCGACATCGGCTCTTCGGGAATAACTCTTTGAGCAACATTTCCGTTGGGACCCAATGCCTGGGCTTCCATACGCCACACAGGCTCCGAGCCGACAAACCAGGTGATATCGCCATCGTTCCCCGTGGTGTATTCGTAAGCATAAACTTGATAAGCGTTCCCATCATACCACGCATTGTTGAGATTGGACAATCCCGAAACTGCTTGCTGGAAAGGTCCACCTTTGTATGTATTCATGGCTGTGACTGAGAAATCGAAGACTTCCACGAAGTCATAGTTGGGTTGATACCAGATGTCGAAGGGCGCCACTTGAAAGGACTGAGAGACCATACCGATTTGGTTGCCCTCGGCATCAAGAGTGCCAACGCTTGCTTCCAGCACATCGATCTCAGGGGCGGATCGGGATTTCCCAGGAGTTGGATGGTCCTCATTAGAGCATGTGCAGGCTGGGAGTCTCATGCCTGGGAGGTAGCTGATGCCATCGGGAGAGCTCTGGTTCGCAGTGATGCCGGCGTCGCACACGTCTGCGTACGAGTAGGGCCACAAGCCATCTGTTGTCGCAGCGTATCCAGGCCGTCCAAGGTTGCCCATGGACCAAAAACCGGGCCAGAAGCCGACGGTATCACCACGGCCGGGAAGAGAGATACTGGCCTCCAACCTGCCGCCTTTGAAACACATCTGATTCCAGGACTGCAGCATGCCTGAACGATAGTTCAAGCCATGATTTTGAAAAGCATCGAAGCGCAATTCCAACACACCATCGTTTGTGGTGGCAGCGTCGGGGTCGTACCACTCCAAATCCCTCGTCACCCCATACCAGATGTCCACTGCAGTCCAATATGGGTCATCTCCTTCATAGAACGTCCGTCCTGGCTTGGAGAACTCGTCTGAGAAGACCAAATTCCACGTATTTCCATGATAATCTTTCTTTGTTTTGACGGAATCAGGGGTGTCGGGATCGATGAGACTAGTGCGAATATTCTTCAGTAATGGAACCTTACCACTTCCTATGCAAGAGTTGCCGTCTGCGCATGGGTTTGGTGACGACGTTATCTTCTCAACAAAGGTCCTAAACGAGCCTGTTAGCACATAGATCTTGACAATGGGGGCCTAGAACGAACAAAACTGGATATCCCACAAAAAGGACCAATATTCCTAGTGTTATCAGGGCAAGACCACCAACATTGACTAAGCCTCTTCTGTTGAAGATATCACAGTCTCGGTCCTTGTCATTGGGATCAGGGTTATGGAGGTAGTCGTCTTTTTCAACATCCTCTGGGAATAGAAGAAGTCCCGCAGATGGCAGAATATTGTATTTTTCTGATACCGTTTGAGTGTTGACGTCGTTGTCATCACTGCCGGCTCTTGAACCTGGTCTTGATTGACTTTGATCCCTGAACGGATTTTCGAAGCCTCTGCTATCCCTGCTCCGGTCCGACTCCCAGCTCGATCGGCGAGAAGAATAACTCGAGCGAACGGGGGACCTTAGGGGTGAGCCGCCGTCATCTTTGAATCTGTTTGAGCGGCCTGTGACTGGTGGTAGTAGTCTTTCAGCCGAATCCTGGACTTGATCTGAAGGGTAGACGTTGCTTAATTGTGACCGGGCTGTTGTCGGTCTAGAGTTTGTCGGGACAAGAGTCCTCGAGGAACTGCTTGCATCGGCGTTGAGCAAGTCTTCTTGACCTGAATTGAGACGAATATGAGGAGGAACTCGTGGAGGTGATGAGGAACTGCTGTTGCTGTGGGACGACATTATAAGATGGCGACCGACTCGTCGTCAGGGAGATCGATCGCCAACACTTGAAGGAACGGGGTGCAAGGACAGTATTTGGTCGGCCAAAGAGATGAGTGAGAGGAGGGCTGAGTCGGTTTTAGGGTCGAGGCTCTGAAGGAAGTATGTCTTAGGGCCGGCCGCAGTCTCGAAGGACGGTGAATGGAGGAGGCCGACCGATGAGAGCGTAAGCAGTGCAGATTAGGCGAACAAGTGGTTGAAAATAGCTAGGAGGCCGGGGGCAACAGAGGAAAAGACGCCGACAGGGTCAGAGGAACAAGTTGCTCGTGATCGTGAAGAGCGAAAAGGGCTTCGCAGTTGTGAGTTTGTGGTATGGCCGTGCACGAGATACTGTAGGTGCTCCTTTCTGGCCAGCAGGAAAGGGACAAGCTGCTGCCAGCTGAAAAGGAGAGATTCTGGGGGAGCAGAATGAGGGTTTCGAGGTCGGTAGAGAACTGCGAGGTAAAGAGACGGGGTCGATTGGAAACGAACGTAACTGCTTCAACAGCAGAGGATCTGTCGAGCAAACGAACAAAGAAGATGGTGTTTGTGTTGGCCTCACAGGCACGCGCAGTTTGGCAGGTTTCTCAGGATACAAGAGTTTACCTAGCAGATGGTAGAACAGCAGAAGAGGCTTTGGCAGAGGCCTACAGGGCTAGTGGGCGAGGGGGGCGCCACGGGGCAATTGGACAATTGGGCTATCGGGCTAAACTTTAGTGGACGCGCAGGTGCTCCGGTCTCTCTAAGCGGCCCACTGCCGAGCTTTAGTGCCGTAGTGATCTGTGCCTAGTAGGTAGTCAGCCTCAGCTGTAACTCCAAACTGCTGGGCCTCCAAGGGCCTCATCTCAGCCCCGGGGAGCGCATTTGATGACCCTGAATTAAGGGGATCGCAGGTGAATTTCAGACCCTCTATAATAAAATGGGTCGCCGGTTTCGAGTCCAGTTACACTATCAGTAAGAAACACCTTGTTGAGGAGTTCTTCTGGGCAATGACTTGGTAGAGGAGAGATATGCTGGCATTTGCCCATCTTGATGGGGTTTCCAAGAGCGTACCAGCATAATATTTGTTGTTGTTCTCGGGAGTCGGTACCTGCATCGTTGGCTGTGAGATGGGCGGGTGAGAGGAGGCACTGTTCCTCCATCCTCTCCCTCTCGCTACTCTTTGTCCTCGTACACAACCCTCACCTGCACCCTGCAAACTGCGGCCTTCCATTATCATTTGCACAACACCAGCAGATCGTATTTTGTTCCTTCTTTGGATTGTGCTCGTGTCCCTTCCAACCATGAACCCTGATACCTCTCACTGCCGCTGCTAGTTCAATTCCACATCCGTCAGGTGAAGAGGTGTATGTTTGTGCAGCTGCCAGCCTGGTCTGAAAGTGCTCTGATCTGATTCCAAGTCTCAGGTTAACATGCAGATCTCCCTTTCTTCAGTCATGATTTCCTCGATCCCCCTGGCCGAGACTTTGTCGGGGCCCACAGCGTCACCTACCCATCCAGATCCAAGCAAATGGGCCAAGGAGAACAGGAGAGGAGTGCGCTTGGCCAAAAACAAACCCAGTACCAGCGGCCTCCGAAAAGAGTTGACGCGTTCGTGTGCGGTAGTGGCACAGCAGCGCCCCATTCCGTGTGCAGCTTCACCCTTGGACGCCTTCACATTGCTTGCTGAGCCCCATCAGCCTGCTTCGAGCATTCGGTAGGTACAAGCTACGAGGAGGACGGATGGGCAAATCACGGCCGTGAGTGGCGCTATTGTGGTCGAATCACTGTGCTGCTGACACTCGGAGACTCGAAGCAGTGGGGGGGGGGGGGGGGCGCGGACAGGATCCTAGAACAATCTGACGGGGAGCCTTGATTTCGCCTGTTTGCTCTCATTTTGATTCGCCTTCGCCATTCAGGGGGAACCGCCACAGCACAGCACGACTGACCAGAGGAGCAGCTTGATCCTTTGCCGTTTTCCTTCTATTCTTAACCCTTCATGCCAAGGAAGGACTTTCCGAAGGCTGGACAGACTGAGAGCATCCTCGAAGAGCTCTAGAATACTACAGAGTGATACGAAGTGGACAGAAGATGGCATGATTGATACTCGGTACCTCTCAAGAATCTTGTCCTCTGCGTTATAACGGTGCATCCCTGCCCTTGGTCAGCGACCATCGTCCATTTTTGTTTCAGCTTCGACTTGGACACCGCTACGAGGCTTGCAACGAGGGTTGCTACAAGGCGTTGACGCGGCCAGTCAACGGTGACGCGTTGCTGGTAGGCACCAAGTACCAAGTACCGAGTAGGTTTACTACGAGGTACCTCGTACTTTGTACCGAGTAATTACAGTGTCTCGAGTCTCAACGAGGTTTTCCCCTGTTTCTTATCGATGCAACTTCGGTTCGGATATTGTCCCAGGGGCTGGAATCCCCACATGTATGCTGCAATCCTGTACTCGGTAACTCGTACAAGTATATTATCCCCATTTGATTCGGCACTGGACCGTCGTGTGAAATACCTACCCTGAATATCCGAACCTTGGGCTCCAGTATATCCCCTGTTTGCTATCCGTTGCCTCAATAATTATCTGCTGGTATCTATCCCGAATGGTTCCTGTTCTCAACGCTTGGAAAATCTTCCGGCCTGTGGTGGACACACTTTGACGACTCCGAATGGGCTTCATGGCCCGTTTCGTGGGTTCTATATGGGCCATATGGGGGTTGGACTTTGGACTACCGTACTACTGTAGGTACATACGGAGCACCAATTCCCTTTTGAGGAGATATTTCCAGAAGAGTACTCTGTACAGACGTGCGCGTGCATGTTGCATGCTTTTGTCGGTCCTCCAAACACACAGATTCGAAGATCGGCGTATTGACTCGGTTCTTGATTTGACAGTAGTTGAACTCTTGGTCGGGCCACGATCTACTTGACGTGACGCCCTAGCGAGCGACCTTGAGGATTGATTTTGGATGCATCTCCCTAGGTATACGCCATGCATAGAATTTTTCTTTTCTTTTCCACGTATAGAGCACCGCTTGAAGGACTGGTATCGACGACATTCAAGATATTAGGGTAGTATCCAGCGGCCATTCATTTCCTGGCATCCCTGGGTAGAGGTCTTATTCGGTCTCCCTGTCCTTTCTGTCTCTTCTCTAGCTCTCCACCGCCTTGGTCACAACACCGACCAACATCCTCTCACCCACGGTCAAGATATAATACTCGACTCTCGTCTTGCTCATTTCCACTCTATAAACCTTGACCCCCGCCTTCCCCTTCCCCGCCTGTTCCACCCTCTGGACGACCTCGCCGTACTGCCCTCTGGGGTCAAAGTCCCCAACACTCAACTCCTCGACAACGGGGCCGCCGTCGCCCGACTTGGTGGGCGCGAGGGAGTTGGCGAACTCTTCTGGTTTGGGGAGCTCGGAGCCGGAGTAGTTGAACAGTACAGGCTCAAACGGCGAGTCCGTCTCCGACGTGTAGGTGACGTCCGGCAGCGCCTTCAGAGAAGCCGGCAAGGCGTCTGACGACGAGCTGGTCGGGTCCAGTCGCGACCGCCGCTGAGACGTCGACTCGGACTCGGCGAGGGTCTCGCCGGCCTTGGGGTTCGCATTGGCCTTTTCGAGGAACGACAGGTAGGAACTGTCGTCGGACATTTTGTTGGTGTGGTGGGAAGCGATGTTTGAGGAAGGTGTCGATGACCCTGGTGCTTTGATGACAACGGAATAGGGACGATGATCAGAGGATCTTGGAGTCCTGATTGCTCTAGATTTTCCCGGGTGCGTCCACGCTGCTGCTCTCAAGCTGTTTCGCAAAACTCGCCAACGAGCACCTAGTATCTTCTGCTGTTGATCTTGCTGCGAGGCGAAGCGAGGAGACTGTGTAATAACTTGTTGACTGCGACAATGTATCAACGCCCGGTACTGCAGCATTTGACTATGGATGTAACTCCGAATGGTCAATATGATACGTGCCTGTGGTTGTGTGAAAAAGATGGCCCAGCCCATATTCAACAATGACGTCACCTTTTCATGCCTACCACTAGGTTATTAAGTGGCCATAAGGCGCGCACGACTCCTTCTCCTGAGTCTCAACGTGAACGTACCACTTCATCCTGCATGAACACCAGCGACTGGCTACATCTACAAATAAATGGTGAAGAATGTGGGTTTGACCTTGCCCACATGACTCCTAGAAACGACCTCTGGCGACCTCTGGTGCCACGAACCTCGTGACCTTAACACCTCCCGTGAGAGGTACACCTTAACATGCTCATACTTGCATGTCGCTACGAAATGGTTCGGGGCCACAAATGCTAAGCCGCAAGCTGACACAGGTCCAGTTATGTTAATACCAGGTACTCAACGAAGGTGGTACGTACGAGTAGATGAGTTCCTTCCCACACGGAACAGACGTGGTTGTGGCAAGAAAAGGGGTCAGACTGTGTCCGAAGCCGGTGGGATGAGTCTGCAGGGTATGTGTGGAAACGGTCTTGTTGCGACTGGGATTCCCACAAGACATATTTGTGGAAACTGCTGAAGCTTCTCTACACACAGTCCGCTTCCACCGCCGACGCATGGCTGGCTACCGGCTGGAGGAAACCAACAATAACACGTCTCCAATCGATCTGATCGAGGTCAATCGAGCACTTTGTAAACTTACAGCTGCGTGGCCCATGGACGAACGATGCTCGTTGCAATCGCAAAAGGCTGTGTAGGATGCTGGCTCATAGACTGTCACAATATATGGAAATTTCAGGGCCTGCAAATGGTAATGGTTCCATTGTAAGACTCGAAGTTCCAGGTAGAAAAAGCCTGTGGCCTAGGAGCAAGGCTTCCTTCGAGGGCATTTATTGCAAACGGCGTCGCAGAGTAAAATGATATGGACAAATCATCACGACTTTCATGACTTATTTGAGCAGAGCTTCAACCAAAGTCGCGCAAGTGCACCAAAAAAAATAAAACAGAAGGCAACAAGAACTAGAAATCAAGTCATCTGCCTGA